ATACTAAAAAAAGCAGCATCTGAATGACTCCTTGTATGCAGTAAATATCATACATAGAGCAGGTTTAGACATGGAAGAATGAGGAGTGGAGATAGGAGGAAGGCACATCAATAATCTAAGATATGTGAATGACACTGTACTACTGGCAGTAAACATCATGGACTTGGAACAATTACTAAGGAAGGTCAAGGAAGAAAGTGTGAAGTCAGACTGTGGCTAAACATAACTTTCCCAAATAATGACTAAGGAATATTTACATGAGTTCAACTTAGAAAATGAAGAAATCTAAATAGTTAAAGATTTCCCATACCTTGGATCAAACATTGATCAGAACAGAGACTGCAGTCAAGAAATCAGAAGAAGATTAGGAATGGGAAAGGCATCTATGAAAGAACTAGACAAAATCCTGAAGTGTAAAGATATATAGCTGAATACTAAAGTTAGAATTGTCCAAGCCATCATTACCATCTATGGATGTAAGAGTTGGACAGTGAAGAAAGCAGAAAGAAAGAAAATTAATTCATTCAACATGTCATGCTGGAGAAGAGTGCTGAGGATACCAAAAAGATAAACAATTGGGTCTTGGAACAAAGCAAGCCTGAACTCTCCCTGGAAGCCAAGACGACTAAATTGAGGCTGTCATACTTTGATCACATCATGAGAAGGCATGACTCACTAGAAAAGATAATGATGCTGGGGAGGGTGGACGGCAGTAGAAAGAGAGTAAGACTGCATGCCAGATGGATAGACCCAGTCTAGGACCTAAGCAGAGGTTGAGGATATGGAGGCTTGGAGATGTCTTATTCACAGGGTTGCCATGAGCCAAGGTTGACTTGAAGACAGCTAACACAATAACAGCAGATGAACCTCCAGTCTATAAACTCAGGGCTACAGCAGAAAAAGTTCCCATTCATTTACACAGATCTTATTATTTTGCATGATTCTGAAAAGGACTCTTCTGATTTTAGAAAGGGTATCTATGTATCTGTCAAACTTCAGCCCTGCTGCCACCATTCAGCCAGAGCCCATTCTTATACACTCCTCCACAAATTAAATCCATTCTGTGTTTTCCTTCTCTGTTTCCATTTTCTGCCATGCCTGCCTGTTTACCAGCCTTTCTTTTCTTGAGCAGCCCTGTTGCCTCAGGTATTTCACACCTTTTCCTAATTAGGTTCTATTATCAGGCCATTTGTCAAAGGAAATTATTTGGCTCAAAAGAAATAATGTTGTAATAAGGGTGGAGTGCGTTTCTCATTTGAGAATTCCTTCCATTACTTTTTCTCCTTCATATTTAGTCCAAATGTTCAGCCGCAGAAAGAATATAAACAGAACTTCCCAAGGGGCTATGCTAATGCAAAACACCCAAAATATTGTTTGTGACTTTTGTTTAAAGAGAGAGGATTATACATAATGGATTTGAAAATCCAGCTGCCACAGTCCTGTGAATCAGGAATATTTGAACCAAAACTAAGCAAGGATCTGGGAAGTCAAAGCGGGTACTGTAGTAGCTCATGGCATCCATGTCAGTAGGGCAATCAATTTGCTCAAGATTTTAGTCCAGACTTGAAAGGAGCTATCCAACCCTTTCCTCAAAATAGGTTCAGCATCTTGGGAAGCTACTTTAAAGTTTAGGTTGAAACCTGGAGTGGATTGATTGCTCCACTGGAAGCCACCTGTTGCCATGGATGGGATGGGGATACTAACTAGAGGGGCTGGAACCAATCAACTCCTGAACTATAAGAGAAAATGGTGTACTCAACAGTGGCATCCCCCATCTTGGTGACACACAGTGTGTGTGGGGTGGTGGGGGTGGTGGGACTTCTGGGGGTGGTGGTGGTGGAACTTTCAGTGTGCATGCAGGAAAATCATGCTCCCAGCCCCAGGGAGAAGGCTCCCAGCCCTGGAAAAGCCCACACAGCAACCCTGTGGTCATGGGAAATCCTGGAGAGCAGCCCCATGGCCCTGAGAAAGCCCAGAGAGTGGCCCCATGGCCTCATAAAGCCCGGAAAGCAGGCCTAAGGCCCTAGGAAGGCCTGGAGATAGTGCCCAAAGCCCTGGGAAGGTCACAAGGGGGATGGGGGACCAACCAGGTGCCCCCCTTCTGGGGTGTCACCCGGTGTGACCCACATCCTCCATACACCCCAGTGACACTACTGGTACTCAAAGACTATTGATTTTGTTTAAGAGTGGCATAATTATTTTTTTTAAAAAATTATTTATACACATATACATATGAAACACAGATCAACGAATAGAAATTCATCTTGTGCTTGTTGGAATCACTTTATCCCTGAAATTTCAAGGTCAGAGCTTTGGCATGCTCCTAGACTCAGACCTGAGCCTAGCTGTTCAGGTTTTGGCAGTGGCTAGGGCTGAATTGCATCACTAAATTGCACCAGCAACACATGTTCCTGGAAATATGAGTTCTGGCCATAGTAACACAGACTTTGAATACCTTCTGTTTGGATTACTGCAATGCTCTCTATGTGGAGCAGTCTTTTCAGTTCAAAAACTTGAGTGGTTCCGAAATGATGTGTCCAGACTGCTAACTGGGGCTGATTTCAGGGAACACATAACTCCCTAGGGACTGCAGCTTCATCGGCTACCTATCTGTGTTCTGATGTAACTGAAAGTCCTGTTTATGACCTATGAAGCCCTATATAGCTTGGCTCCAGACTATGTGAAGGACTGTTATTGCCCTATGTGAGCCTTCCCCATTCATAAGCTCTTTGGGGGAGAGCCTTAGCTCTGTCCTACCACTGTAACAGGCATGTCTGGAGAGGACATGGGATACAGCTTTCTTGGTGACTGTCTCAAGCTGTAGAATTCCATTCCATGGCATGTTTGCTTGATCCCCTTTCTTTTAATGGTGAGTGCTCTACTTTTGTCATCTACTTTTGTCTCTCCACTATGTATCTAAAATGCTTTAAACTATTTGAAATTCATGTTTTTAAAATGATTGGTTTTCTAAAAACTTGTTAATTATTAGGTTTTTGCTGTTGCTGTGTGCCTTCAAGTTGTTTCTGACGTATGGTGACCCTATCACAGGGTTTTCTTAGCAGGATTTGTTCAGAGGATATTCGCCATTGGCTTCCCCTGAGGCTGAGAAGGTTACTCAGTGGGTTTTACGGCTGAGCTGGGAATTGAACCCTGGTGTCCAGAGTCATAGTCCAACACTCAAATCACTACGCCATGCTGGCATGTGTTTTTATCTGACCTTTACTGTAATCTGCTTTGGCTCCTATGTTGTTGTTGTTGTTGTTGTTGTTGTTGTGTGGCTTCAAGTCATTTCTGACTTATGGCAAACCTAAGCTGAATGCTTCATGAGGTTTTCTTGGCAAGTTTCTTCACAGGAGGTTTTCCATTGCCCTCTGAGGCTGAGAGAGTGTGATTTGTCCAAGGTCACCTAGTGGGTTTACATGGCCAAGCCAGGATTCAAACCCTAGTCTCCAGAGTCCTAGTCCAATGCTCAAACCACCATATCATACTCCTTTGCCAGGATCAAAATTGAAAAATAAATAAATAAAATAAACTCACTTCAACAATATTGACTATGATAGTTCTGACCACTAAATAGTTGTATATAGAAATGTGCCCCAATAGTGGTCAACATTCCTTGTGCCCTGGCCATATTGAACCTCTGTTCCAACCCACCATTTTTTTATTGGATTTTTTCCTTTAAGCTCTTTTTTTTAAAAAAACCCAACAACAACGAGGATCAGACAAAGACATTTTGTTATCTGACGTGGAACAAAAATGCACCCCCCCCCATACACTCCTCAAATCTAGATGTATAGTACCTAAAGGCAGCCAGGTTGTTTTGCTGCATGGGGTAGAAAAATCCCCCAAGAATCTTTGCTCCATTTCTTTGAGTGAGTAGAAATACAAAAACAATCACTTAAATAGCAATTTTGTCAGCTGCCTTTTGTTAACACACCAAACCTATTGTCCAAGATGGCTGAATTGCTCTGCAAGGCCCTGCAAAGAAGCCCTGCAAAAACCATTTTCTTCCAAGACATTGTGACACAGATTGATTCATTTACAGTGGAAGCAAAAACCTAATGATGTATAATTGCATTTATGCAATTTTAAATCATTATCCTAGTTTCCCCATTCTTTAATTGCATCTCCACCACAGCTTTCTCTCTTGATTTTGACATTTAGGTTGTATGCTTAAATGGTTGACATTTAGGCTGTAAAAAATTCCAGTGGTTGAAATTGAAGCTGTTAAATTCTTTGGGGTAGAAATGGTTGGGACTTTTTATTTTCTATTCTTTCCTTTTTGTTTTTGTTTTTGCTATTCTGTAAAATGCAACATACTTTTGAGGTCACTGTAAATAAACAAACAAATGAAGGAATCTGAGTATGCTGAGTCTAGCCATACTGATGAAATGACCAAAGAAATCTTGTGAATAGATCCAGCTCCTAATTTTTTGGTTGAGGCAGAAGCAGATAAAGTATGAAGCACACATACTTCCTAAGATTATTTACATAACAGTCTGAAGGTTGCTCACTACAGCCAAAACCTCAGAAGATTCCAAAAGGATAAAAGTGCTAGCTTGGTTGAACAGCAAAAATGGTCATTTCAGAGATGAACAATATTTCCAGGCGTACAATCAAGGTCTATTGAGCTTACATATAGCATACATGTGGCACTGGATACTCTACCACCAACCATCCATGGATGATTTCATTGCATATTTATATAAGGGTTTTTAAAATGTTTTTAAAATTATCTCGATCCATTTCAAACCAGCTTCA